GCCCGCGGCGCGCGCGCTCGGGGGCAGGGGCACCCCGCGACTTGGTGCCGCCCTAGCGACGGCTGCCCGGGTCGCCTCCCTTCCTGCCGCAGCCCTGGCAGGTAAGTACTGGTGGCCCCGATTCAGTCTGGGGAAAGAGACCCAGAAAGGGAAGGGACCGGCGCAGGGTCACACCGCGAGCCTGGGCCAGCGAGCTGCTCTCGGCACTCGGGGAGGGGCGGACTCCGCCGACTCCGACGTCTGCGCGGGGCGGAAGCAGCAGCGCAGGGACCCCCGGGGGGCCCTCCGAGGGCGGCCCCCTTCGGCCAGTCTCAGAACCGGACTCTGCCGTCCAGGGACGATGCGCCCCCCTTCCACCAGCAGACCCCCGCAGGGCCGTGACCCGGGCCGGCACCGACCCCTGGTGCTCCTGCCTCGGCTACGTTGGGGCAACTGTGAGGATGAACCCTTGAAGGCACGCAGCGCCGAGCTGGGCTCGCGACGCCGTTTCTGGAAGCGCAGCCCTTATCACGGACGGGAGTGTTTCCCCTCCCCGGGGAGCTGGCCCGGGGCCGTTAGCCGCGCTGTTCACACCTAGATTAGGGCCCTTATCGCTGGGCTGTCGACCGCCCAGCTGGCGGGGCGCAGCAGGTGGCGCCCCGTTAGGGCACTGCCCGGGCCCCGCGCAGCGCCAATGGGCTGAAGGCGACGCCGGTCAATCCTCGGTCCCAACAGGGGTGCACCCGCGGGGCGCGCCCGCTGCGCGCCCAGGAGGCCGAGGCGCGGGGAGCCCGAGCGTCCGCAGCCCCGCCCCCCTGAAGCTGCGCCGGCGCTGCTCCTGTGCGCCAGCCTGAGCGCCGCTGTTCCCCCGTGGGCCCTGCGGCGCGGTCCTGAAAGGGGTCAAGCCCCGCGGGGGGAAGACTACGTGCATTTGGAGGTGTCTGCACCCCAGCTTCCCCTCACCGCCGCCGCAGCCTCATGCAGAGCGCTGCACCTCCTCTGCAAAGCAGAGCTGACCTCTACGGAGGCTGGGGCGCGAAAACTTCACCACCCCCCAGCCCCCCTATCTCACCCCCCAATCTCACCCCCCACCCCCACCCCCGCCCCCGTCTGCTTCTGCGGCTTTTCTTTCCCACCCACAGGCTCTCGCGGGATCCCGGCCCTTCCTGGAGGCGCCTTCCCCTCTCCCGCGGAGGGGCCCCTTGGCCCGCCGGCGCGGGCCCACCCATTTCCTGTGCGGCCCCAACTCCGCCCCCCACTTGGGGTGGAAAGTTTCTCTCAAGATGGGCGGCTCCTTCCTTCCCCGCAGGCCAGGAAAGCCCTAGACGAGGGGGGTAGGTTGGGCTTCCAGGCCTCAGGCCAGAGAGGGGAAGTGACTGGCCCGCTGTCACACCACCGCAAGCTCGGGGCCGGCTCGGGCTCTCCACCACGCGGGGTCTGCGGATTCCCACCCCGCCGGTGCCAAGTCCTTCTCCACTGGGGTCTCGGACGCCACCTGCCGGCGAAGAGCGGGGCCGCACTTGCCGGAGACCCGCTATCTGGCCGTCCAGGAGCCAATCAGAACACAAGATCGCTGAATAGTATTTATTTATCTAGCGCCCAGGAGGCTGGCCTCTACACTTCAACATCCAGCTCGGAGCCTGGACCCTCCCGGCCGTGGGTAGGCGCATGAATGGGTTCTGGAGCCCTGGTCTAGGGCAGTGGACCCCCGGGGCCTGGGGTGGGTGCCCCTGAGCAGCAGCTGCCAAGAGCAGCAAAAGGTGAAAGGGAGGTGGGAGCAGACCCTCGTCCCAGTGAGAAGCCTGGAGGCAAGGTGCTTTGGGCCCGGCCACCAGACCGAGGGCTGGCCACCCTGGGGCACACGGGTGCGGGGCAGTCCCACCGGCGGCGGCTGTAGCTGAGGTCCCACCCAGTGCCAGCTAACCCAGGACAGGAGAGGGGGACTGGCAGCTTTGCCTCTGGGGTCTCAGGCTTTGCCCCCTCTGCGGGGAGATGCCATAGGATAAGCAGGCACTGCCGTCTGAGCCCTTGCTGGGGCAAGTCCTGAGCCTCTGCGGCCATGCATGTCCCTGCCTCCTGCTCAGAGGCTAATCTGGAAGGCGTCCTGCAGCCACTGGTCGCGGGCATTGTGCGTCTGCGGCACAGTGAGGGGCGGTGGGTCTGGGGGCAGGCTGGCGTCGGGAGGCTCCTCGTCATCGGACAGGCCGGCGTCAGGCGGGTAGGAGCTGTCCGAGTGCAGGGAGGACGACAGGTCCTGGCACAGGCTCAGGTCTTGGCACAGGTGCTTGTAGTCCTGGATTGACTCATACAGGCCCCACAGCTGGCAGAGCAGGGACATGTCCAGCTGCCGCAGCCCCACCTGCAAAAGACTGAGGGTGGGCTGGGGTTGGGGTCTAGGTCACCCCCAGCCTGGCCAACATTCAGTCTCCCCACACCTTCTTGGCACAAGTTTTCATGGAATCCCCCCCCCAAGCCCCCAAACAGTGCATCTTTAGGCGAGTCCTGATCCTCCTCTGTAAAACGGGGGTCGCATTCGCCCAGGGGGGGCATGAAACAAAACGAGTATTCGAACCTACGGGAACTCCTGCCCTGACCAGTGGCCACCCCGCGGCGGCGGGCCCCCAGGCCCAACGACAGCCCCCTCCCCCGCCCGGCGGGCCCGCGGCCCAGCGAC